GGCTGGCTAACTACAATTCTGACCCGTTACAGCATCAGCTGTTCAGGGAACAAATGCGAGACCCCTACGGCATTCGCTGTTTAGGGAACTCTCCGCCACCGTGCCTTGTGCAGGTTGAGGCGTGGAAGAATGGCAGGGGCTGTCTGGTAGGATTTCTGTATTCTTATCAGAGAGACACACACGCTCACTTGGCCTCGCGGCCCTGCGCGCGGCGACAGGGCGGAGAGCACACACACACACACACACACACACACACACATATATATATATATATATATATATATATATATATGTATGTCGGCGGTGCGCCGTGGCACGAAACCCCCCCCCAGCACTACCGGGGGGTTTCGTGCACTACCGGGGGGTTTCGTGCAGCCCGCACCGGGTGCCGCCAGCGGCTTAGAACACCCCCCCCTTGCCGCTTTACCGGGGGGGTTCGTGCAGGCCGCACTGCGTCTACCTGGGCTCCCCCCCCCCCCTGTGGGAGTGGGGGGGTGGGAGTGGGGGGTGGGTTGGGGGGGGGGCAGGGGGGCGGTTGGGAAGGGTGGCTCCCTGTCGAAGTGTGGCGTGTGCTCGCCTTGTGTTCTCTATTCGCGTCTGCTCGCCTTTGTTCCGCCGCAGCCTCTCGTATTGTGGCTCGTGGCCACAATACGAGAGGCTGCGGCGCAACTCCCGAGAGCCGCTGTGGGGGGTCGACGGCACGGCCGCGTAGAGAAGAACAGTGCCGCCGTGTTCCGGCACGGCCCTGGGATGCAATGCCGCCGCCGTGTTCCGGCCCGTCCTGGTAAGATTCGCGCGTCGGGGCTGGGTTTCGCGCGTGCTGGGAGCGCGCCGCTTACGGAGGGGTTGCGTCCTTACCGGGGGGGTTCGTGCAGCCTACCAGAGGAGGTCGTGTTTACCGGGGGGCTTCGTGCAGGCTCGCACAGGGAATGGCGCCAGCTCGAAACCCCCCAGGAGAGATTACCAGGGGGGGGGTTCGCTCCGCACCGGGCACCGCCGACATATATATATATATATATATATATATGTATATATATACACACACACGCATGTTGCGTCGGCGGCTGGGCAGAGTGACTGCGCTGGCGGATGGGGGCAAATACAGGGCATACACATTTACACACACACACACGCACATACACACACACACACACACACACACACACACACACACACGCATACGCACACACACACACACGCATACGCACACGCATACGCACACACACACACGCACACAAACAAACAACCAAACAAAGAAACAAACAAACACACACACACACACACACACACCGTTACCCGCGTTCCCTGCATGCACTGCCGCCCCTCCCGAGGCCACCCTTGTAAAAAGTATATTAAAAATTGTGTCCTCGCTCCCGAGGCCACGACCCTTCGTAACAAGCAATGGATCCACGTCCCGAGCTTCCGAGACGGCCCATGCAGGCAACCCCAGACACCAAGATGGCCGAAGACGCCTCGAAGACGGTCCAAGATGGCCCCAAGGCGGCCCAGTACGGCCTCGAGACGGAAGATGTCTTCAAGAGGGCCCAAAAGGGCCACAGGAGGACCTCCAACAGCAACAGGGTCCGAAGAAGCCAACACCAGGGATGTTCTGTCGTTTTGTATCCTCGTCGCAATATCGCATGTTCGGGCTTCCGTCAGCTTAGGACGGCCCAAGAAGCCTCCAAATGGCCCCAAGACGGCCCAAGAGGCCCCCAAGAGGGTCCCAAGATGGCCCAAGAGGTCCCACGATGACCTCAGAGGCATCCAAGACGGCCCCAAGACGTTCCAAGAGGGCCTCCCGCGGGACCCAAGACGGTCTTAGAAGGCCTTTCGACAGCCTAAGACGGCCCCACGACGGCCCCCAGGCATCGCCATACGGCCAAGAGGGCCCCAAGGTGGCCCAAGAGAGCACCGAGACGGCGTAAGAGGGCCCCAAGACGCGGCCCAAGATGGCCCAAAGAAAAGAACCCCATATGACTGCCTGACATGACGCAAAGGCAGCCCCAAGGCGGCCCAAACGAGTTCCATGAGAGCTCCTCACCACCACCATCCTCGCCCTCATCCTCATCGTCATTCTCATCAGAATCATGATCCTTAGCATCCACCATTATCACCACCACCCTCAACATTCACCAACATTGATCATCATCATCATCATCATCATCATCATCATCATCATCATCATCATCATCATCATCATCATCATCATCATCATCATCACCGTCATCACCATCATCACCATCATCATTATCAGCATCATTGTCATCATCAGCAGCATCACCATCATCAACAACAACATCAACCGCATCAACATCATCATCAGCAGCAACTGCATCATCATCCTCATCACGGCGTTCCCACCCTCGAACAGGCGCCACCCAAAATGCTGGGCTGGCACGGTGGCGGGACTTGCCGCAGGCATCTGGATTTTGGCCAGCAATCACCCTGTGCCATCACACCTCCAGCGCCCCCACCTGACTTCAAATACATCGGGATGCCGGTGCCTTTTGATCCGGAAGAACCAGAATCGAATCGACAAGTCGGATCGGCGATCGAAATGGATCGGATCGGCGGAAATCGGTATCCGAGTCGGGAAAAGCCGAATCGGCGATATCGGCAGACCAATGAGACCTCCACTGAGAAGTCGGAGTCCAAATCGGAATCCAAAGTCGAATCGAATCGGAATCGGCATCCATCGAAGTCGAATCGGATCGAATCGGAGGAGCCCTGGTGCCAGAAGAGGGATGCACCCGGCAGGTGCCGGGCGGCACGAGGTGCAGAGGGTGCCAGGCGGCGGGGAGGCCACGGGTCACTGCCGCGAGGCAGCCACGAGCAGAGAGAGGGGAGGGGGCGACCTGCACGGCAGCCCCAGACCTCCTCGCCCCCTCCGCCCGTGCGGGAAACAAAACCCGCCCCACCCCACCCCCAAAAAAACAGCAACAACAACAACAACAACAACAACGACGACAACAACAACAACAACAACAACAACAACAACAACAACAACAACAACAACAACAACAACAACAACAACAACAACAACAACAACAACAACAACAACAACAACAAACAACAACAACAACAACAACAACAACAACAACAACAACAACAACAACAACAACAACAACAACAACAACAACAACAACAACAACAACAACAACATTAGTCATTTTACCCTCATGCGCGATGTGTTCCACACGAAGCATGCGACCATCATGGTAACCATCCACATCATGGGGGACTCTTGTTCTACAGCGGGGTCCGTTATTCCCATTCCCAGATCTCCCGCCCAATGAGGTCTTGCAGACACCTCCTCCGAGGAATTTCAACATATCCCGCCTCGCAAACACATGCCCGCGCCTTGTTGCGCCGATGCGAGACCGCCAGTGGAACCCCAGCGAAGGGTAGAGCACAAGGAAGTATCGAACGACAGGATTGCCTTGGTGGGGATGGGGGCTGTCGGCGGTGAGGCAATAACCTGGCCCTGAATAGAAAAGGAAGAAGTCTCGAGCAGGGCTGCTGGTGTTGCTGAGAGCGACGCCAATGCTGAAGAGAGTAGGTTGCTAGTCCAGCGTAAAGCAAAACAAAGTCTCGAGCGGGAATGCTGGTTTTGTTGGGACGGCGGCTTTTGGCGGCGAGGAGGAACACCGCCTTGAGTACGAAAGGAAGAAGCATCGAGCGGGAGCCATGGTCTTGTCGGGACGGGGGCTGTCGGCGGCGAGGAACAGCACCGTCCCGAGGAAAAAGAAAGGAAATCTCGAACGGCAGCGTTGTTCTTGCTGGGAGCGGCGCCAATTCAAAAGAGAGTAGGGCGCCAATCCAGCGTAAAACGGAAAGAAGTCTCGGGCGGGAGCGCTGGTTTTGTCGGGGCGGCGGTTTTCGGCGGCGAGGAGGAACACCGCCTTGAGTAGGAAGCATCGAGCGGGAGGGTTGTCGGCGGCGAGGAACAGCACCGTTTTCAGGAAAAAGGGAGGAAGCCTCGAGCGGGAGCGTTATTCTTGCTGGGAGCAGCGCCAATTCAAAAGAGAGTTGGGCGCCAGTCCAGCGAAAAACTGAAGGAAGTCTCGGGCGGGAGCGCTGGTTTTGTCGGGGCGGCGGATTTCGGCGGCGAGGAGGAACACCGCCTTGAGTAGAAAGGCAGGAAGCATCGAGCGGGAGCCGTGGTTTTGTCGGGACGGGGGCTGTCGGCGGCGAGGAACAGCACCGTCTTCAGGAAAAGGGAAGGATTCCTCGAGCGGGAGCGTTGTTCTTGCTGGAAGCAGCGCCAATTCAAAAGAGAGTAAGGCGCCAGTCCAGCGTAAAACGGAAAGAAACCTCGGGCGGGAGCGCTGGTTTTGTCGGGGCGGCGGTTTTCGGCGGCGAGGAGGAACACCGCCTTGAATAAAAAAGGGGAAAGCCTCGAGCGGGAGCGTTGTTTTTGCTGGGGGCGGCGCCGATGAAAGAAAGACTAGCGCGCCAGTCCAAGGTAAAAAGGGAGCAAGCCTCGAGCGGGAGCGCTTGTTTTGTTAGGACGGCGGCTTTCGGCGGCGAGCAAGAACACCAGCCCTGAGTCGAAAAGGAGGAAATCTCGAGCGGGAGCGTTGTTGTTGGTCCCCCAAACCGCTCGAGCGTGAGCCTCCTTTTCAAAGATACTTTAGCCGGCGCCTCGGCGAGAGCGCCAGGGCACCTGTGAGGGGTCCAACAATGATAATTGTTTACTAATTAACATTCAGCAACAACAACAACAACAACAACAACAACCAATAACAACAACAACAACAACAACAACAACAACAACAACAACAACAACAACAACAACAACAACAGCAGCAGCAGCAGCAGCAGCAGCAACAACAACAACAACAACAACGACAACGACAACGACAACGACAACGACAACAACGACAACGACAACAACAACAACCACAACAACCACAACAACAACCACAACAACGACAACGACAACGATAACGACAACAACCACAACAACAACAAAATACGCGCGGCTGCGTATGGCGCACCCAGGTGAGCAGGCCCAGCGCTATGCCGACGGCATCAAAGATGAACCTACGCGCGAGGGAATGCGAATGGCCGCCCTCGTCCTCCTTACCACGCTAATCAAAAAGTATGCCTTCCCCTTCCTCCTCTTCTTGACCCTCCTTGTCATCATCGTCAGCAGCATGGTTGTCAATTCTTGAATGAGCTGGCTGATCCCCAGCCAGCGGCAAGCGCGGAGTACAAAGAATGGTTCGACATTTGAGCAACCTATGATGACGTCATTGCAGGCATCTCCAGCAGGCCTTGGGACATGATAAGTTATGACAGAACGCAACGGAGAAGTTGACGCCACAGCAAATCAAGCCCACAACACATGTGCGGAACCTTCCCTCCTCCTACTGGCATCGGCACCCTCGATGTTGCAGCTTGCTCTGCGACGATGCGATCCACTACCAAGCCGACTTTAACCACATTGTCTCACGGACGGGGAGTGGCCGCCGCAGCTGCTACTCACCATGGGCGGCCCATTTCCGCCTTCGCTGTCGACTTCTGCCTTGCAAGAATAAACTATCACCTCCCCATCATCGTCCTCCTCGCCCCCCCCTCCTCCTGCTCTGCCTCCACCTCCGCCCCCGCCTCCGCCTCCTCATACACTCCCTCCCCCCTCCCTCCCTCCATGCTCCCCTGCCCCCACCCTCTTCCTCATATTCCCTCCCCACCTCTTCGTCACATATTCCTCATATTCCCTCCACCCTATTCCTCATATTCGTCACCATGTTCATGCAGCAGATTCAACCGACTCCTCCTCGTCCCCATCACGGCTCATCGTACTCATCATCACCTTCATCAGCCCACCTGTCCTGTGGATGCGGCGGCGCGCCACATCTTTGCTCCGCCCGGACATGCAACGCGGCGCCGACCACGGCGGCCCGGGCCAGCTGTGGGCCTTGGCGGTGGAGGGCCAGGCAGGCATGAAAGAAGGGGGCAACACGAAGAGGAGGAGGAAGAGGAGGAGGAGGAGGAAGAGGAGGAGGGAAGACGGAGGAGGAGAAGGAACTGACTCACTGACTGACTGACTGACGAACGTACTCCAAACACGGCGGGATCCCCGAACTAGACAAAGCCACATTGAATCCAAAAGCCCGCACGTTCCATATGACACTTGTCGGGAAGGGGGAAGGAGGAGAAGGAGGAAGAGGAGGAAGAAGAGGAACTCCCCCTCCTTCCCCTCCTCCTCATCACCTCCCCTTCCTTCTCGGCTTCAATCCACTCCTCCTCATCCTTCTCCTCGTCATCATCAGCAAAGTCAGCAGAATCATCAAACAATAACAACAGCAACAGCAACAGCCGCAGCAGCAACAGCAACAAGACCAACAACAACAGCAGCAACCACAATAACAACAACAAAAGCAGTAAAGACAACAACAGCAACAGCAACAGCAACAGCAACAGCAACAACCACATCAACAACAGCCGCAAAAAAACAACAGCAACAACAACAACAACGACAACAACGACAACGACAACGATAACGACAACGACAACGACAACGATCACAACAACGATCACAACAACAACAACAACAACAACAACAACAAGGCAACACCGGCGTTCTGGGCCCCATGCCCACGGCCTCGCTTAACCATCGCCCCCACAGGAAGAACACGGGCATTCAGAGGCCTCCTCGGGCCTTGGGGGGGGGAGGGAGAGCACCGCACCGCACCGCGCCTCCGCAACCCCTCTGGATTCCTATTGGAGGAGCATCCACCTTTAACGGAATCACATTGGAGGCGCTTCCACCCCTAATAGAGACCTATAAGAGGCGAGTCCACTCCTAACGGAAACCAACAGAGGTGTATCCACTCCGAATAGAATCCTGCTAGAGGTGTTTCACTGCTAATGGGATCCTACTAGAGGTGTATCCACCCCCGATAGAGTCCTACTAGACGTGTATCCTCCCTTAATAGAATCCGGCTAGAGGTGTTTCCACCTCTACTAGAATCCTACTAGAGGTGTATCCATCCCTAACAGAATCCCAGTAAAGGTGTAGCCACTCGGAATAGAAACCTACTAGAGGTGTATCCACCCAAAACAGATACTTATAATAGGTGTACCCGCTCCTGAAAGAATCCTTCTAGAGGTGCATCCACTCCTGATAGAATCCGACTAGTTGTATCCACCCCTAATAGAATCCTACTAGAGGTGTATCCACTCCTAAAGGAAATATACTAAGAGGTGTATCAATTTCAATTAAAAACCTACTAAGGTGCACCCACCCATAACAGAATCCTACGAGGGGTGTGCCCACCCCTAATAAGATCCTACTAGAGGTGGATCTACCCCGAATAGAATATTACTAAGGAGGTGTATCCACCCCCAATAGAATATTACTAGAAGTGTATCCACACCTAATAGATACCTATTCGAAGTGCATCCACCCCCACTAATTACCTAGTAGACGCACATCCATCCCTAACATATACCTATTAGTTCCACCCCACATAGATACCTATTACAGGTGTATCGACCCCTACTGGAATCCTACTTCAGGCGTATCCACCCCTAATAGAATCCTAGTAGGGGCGCATCCACCCCTACCTAATAGAGGTGCACCCACCTATACTATAATAGTATTAGACGTGTATCCACCTCGGATAGAACCCTATCAGTGGTGTATCCACGTCTAATAGATACCTACTGAAGCGTGCCCACCCATAATAAAATCCGACTAGAGGTGTACCCACCCCTGATAAATTGCTGCTGGTGGTGCATCCACCCCAAATAGATACCTATTAGAAGTGTATCCACCTCTACTAGAATCCGACTAGAGGCGCATCCACCCCTAATAGAATCCTACTAGAGGCGCATCCACCCCTCATAAAATCCCAGTAGAGGTGTATCCACCCCTAACGCATACCTAATAGAGGTGCGTCCACCCCTAACAGATACCTATTAGAGGTGCATCCACCCCGAATAGAATACGAATGGAAGTGGATCCGCCCCAAATCGAATCTGATTAGGGGTGTGTCCACCATTGATAGAATCCTATTAGAGGTGAATCATCATCAATACCATCACGATCGTAATCACCATCATCATAATGATCATCATTGTCATCACCATCAAGATGATGATCATCATCGTCATTACAATCATCATAATTATCAGCATCGCCATCACCATCATCATAATCACCGTCATCGTCACCACCACACCATCATCGTCAAAACCATCATCATCGTTATGGCCGTCATCCTAGTAAGCATCACCATCGTAGTCGGCATCATCATCATCGTCGTCACCAGTACCACCATCAACACCATCATCGTAGTCAGCATCATCATTATCTCCGTCAGCAGTACCACCATCACCATCATCATCAGCATCATGTTCATGATCAGCATCACCATTCGCAACATCATGATCATCATCATCATCATCATCATCATCATGGTGAGCATTTGCATCATGTCAGCATCACCATCGTCCTAGTCAGCGCCATCACAGTCACCACCATCATCATCATCATTATCAGCATCCGCATAGTCATCATATTCATCATCATCGTCAGCACTAACATTATCGCCACCATCATATTCATCATCGACCTCAGCATGATCAGCATAGTCATTATCATCATCATCATCATCACCATTACCATTACCATCAGCATCGTTATAATCATCGACTCCCACTCCCTCCCCCTGGAGAGGACAGAACACGGACGACGGAAGAGACCTGGGGGAGAGGGGGGTGAGGAGGACGAGAAGGAGGCAGAGGGGGGAGAAAAGGGGTAGCAGATCGAGGAGGCGGCAGAGGGGAGAGGGACGAGGATGGAGGACAAGGAGGGCGATCGCACTCAACACTGCGAACACAAGAATACTCATCATACGTATGTGCACCATCGTCAGCACCATCATCCTTATCCTTGCCCTCCCTTTCTTATCGTCTTCGTATATATGATCATCATACTCCTCATCCTCTCCATGATTCTCTTCGTCATCTTCCACCGCATCATCATTGCCCTCACCATACTAGCCGTCATCATCCTCATCATCATCCTCCCTCTCCCCAATCCTCCTCTTCAACCTCGTCATCCTCCCCATCCGTCCCACTCCGTAGGACGCCCTAGGGATTCCTCAGGATTCCCGAAGGAGTCCCTAGGGATTCCCTAGGATGCCGAAGGAGTCCCCGCGGTGCGGTGCGCGGCGGTGAGCGCGGCGCGGTGCGCCCGGTACGGTGCGCGCGGCGCGGTGCGCCCCCCCCTCCCCCAGGGGTGCCTCTGGAACACGGCGCCGTCACCAACAACAACAACAACAACAGCAGCAGCAACAACAACAACAAAAACAAACAACAACAACAACAACAACAACAACAACAACAACAACAACAACAACAACAACAACAAAAACAAAAACAAACAGCAACAACAACAACAACAACTACAACTACAACAACTACAACAACAACATCAGCAGCAACAACAACAACGACAACAACAATCATTATAAGACTGTTCGCTCTTTCTTGCCCGTGGGTCATTCAAAATGAGTTCCCCCGCCCTCGATACCCGCCTCTTTTGTCTTCGATCACACCCTCTTTGGGAGGATTATTTCTCTTCGCGGGGGGCGGCGGGCTTAGACACGCGGGCAAACCTGAACGGGTGGACAATCCTTCGTGGGCGTACATGTGCCCGCCATTGGAATTGGTGCGGGCCCTGCATAAGAAGGAGGGGGAGAACGAGGGAGAGCAGGAGGAAGGGAGGGGGAGAGACGAAGGATGAGGGAAAACGCGCCAGGAGAGAAAGAGCGAAGAGGGGGGCGGTTGATTACAAGCAGAGAGAGAGAGAGAGAGAGAGAAAGAGAACAAACAAACAAACAAAAAGAGCGGAGAGAGGGGAGAGAGATAGAGAAAGAAAGAGGGAGGGAGGAGGCAGGAAAGGAGAGGGAGAAGGGAGGAGGGAGAGGAGGGAGAGGAGGGAGAGGGGATAGGGCAGAGAGGCATAGGGATGAGGGAAGAGAGGGGGGAGAGAGAAAGGAGGAGAGGAGGGAGGAAGGAGGAGCCCACGACGGGCGGGCGATCCCCTGACGGGAGGGTCGGGCGGGTGGGACATTCAAGCGGGATGCCTCAGCATGGCGAGAGCACGATTCCTAAATAAATTGTGACGGCGTCCTTGGCGCATCGTGTTTCCTGCGCGTCGAAAGCGCGATTTCTAAATAAACTGCATGGACGTCACAGGCGAGGGCGCAGCTCCTGAATAAAATGTGAAGGGTTCTCTGGCGGGAGCGGGGGTCTTGATTAAATTGCGAGGAAGCCTTGAGTGAACTGCGAAGAAATCCCAATTGGGAGCGCCGTTCCTGAGTAAATTGTGTGGGGGGGTATCAGATGGGAGCGGGGGTCCTGACTAAAGTGCGAAGAAGTCACAAGCGGGAGCACCGATCCTGACTGAACTGTGAGGAAGTCTCGGGGGCGGGGGTTCTGAGTAAATTCGGAGGGCGTCTCAAGAGGGAACCGTTGTTGTTGTAATCTGGGGGGCCAGGACCCAGCTTGAGCACCAAGACTTCCCCTGTCAGAAAACAAGGTGTGAGCGTCGATGGGGCACACTTTGATGGAGAAAAACAGCATGCACCGTGAGGGGGGATCAACAATAATTTTTCTTCAAAAATGAAAATTCAACAACAACCACAACAATATTTTAAAAAACTGTTCCTTCATTTTTGCTCGCGTGCCACTCAACACGTATATCCCGAACCCTCGATACCCGCCCTCTTCGTCCTCGATCGTACCCCCTTGGGGGGATACCTTTCTTACCTGCAACGCGTATTTCGCGTAGCCCGGGGCAGGGGAAGAAAGGACGGATGGAAGGACAAAGGGGGAGGGGGGAGGATGGAGCACGGGCTAGGAGCAGAAAGCACGTGGCAGAACCAAACGGGCAGCTCGGGCGGG